CAGGTGAAGGTACCGTAGGGGGTGCGAGGACATGTTGGGAATGGAGGAGGAATGGACTAGGGTGTCCCAGAGGTAACAGTCCCTGTGGAAGGCTGACAAGTGAGTGGCGGGGTATCTGTGTCCGGTGCATCCCTCTGGAGGTGGCAGAAATGGCAGCTAATGATCCTTCAGATGTGGATGCTGGTGGGATGGTCAGGGAGGAGAAGGAGACCCTATCACTGTTGTGGGAGGGATGAGAGGGGGTGAGGCCCAAAATGCAGGAAGTAGGTCAGACATGGCTGTGGACCTGTCAACTATGGTGGTGGGAAATCCTCAGTTGAGGAAGAAGGTGGACATTTCAAAGGCCTCCCTGTCAAAGTTGACATTATCAGAACAGATGCGATGGAGACGGAGGAACAGAGAGAATGGAATAGATCCTTTACAGGAAGCAAGTTTACTGTGGGAGTTGATGTGTTTTTAGTGGATATTGTTCGTCAGCCTATCCCCAGAAATAGAAACAGAGACACTGGAGATGGGAAAGGAGGAATCAGAGATGGACCGGGTGACGGTGACAGCAGGATGGAAATTGAAAGCGAAATTGATAAACTTTTCCAATTCCAGATGAGAAAGGAAAGAGGCACTGATGATGTCATTGATATACCCGAGAAAGAGTTGTGGGTGGGGGCCTGAGTAGGACTGGAACAGGGAATGTTCCATGTACTCCATAAAAGAGATAAGCTTAACTGGGGCCCATGTGGGTACCCATGGCCACCTGTTTGACCTGAAGAAAGTGAGAGGAGTTAGAGAAGTTCAGCGTTCCATGGTATCAGAGATGGTAGGAACTGCAGATGCTGGAAAATCTGAGATAACAAGGTGTAGAGCTGGATGAACACAGCAGGCCAAGCAGCATCATAGGAGCAGGAAGGCTGATGTTTCGGGCCTAGACCCTTCTTCAGAAAATCCCTGAGGTTTGTCCGGAGGGAGGAGGGTAACTTCTTCAGGATAGGCATCCTTAGGAGAGGTTTCGCAGTGGGGTTAAAATTGTATCAAAGATAGTAGGAACTGCAGATGCTGGAAAATCTGAGATAACAAGGTGCAGAGCTGGATGAACTCAGCAGGCCAAGCAGCATCATAGGAGCAGGAAGGCTGACGTTTCGGACCTAGACCCAGCTCTCAGCCAGTGTGAGGCGGTGTTGACGGAGAGAGAGCGAGAGGTCAAGCATGTGTATATGGCAATACATGGTGCTGAGTGTGGATCTCAGGATGCAGCGAGAACAGCTGTCTGTGGAATGTTGTCTGTCACAGAGATACCTGTGATTCAAAACACAAAGGATCTTTGGGCAGAGATAGTAGGAACTGCCGATGCTGGAGAATCTGAG